TCTACCGGCTTTGTTCCGATCAGAATTTGATGTTTGATCAAAGCTAATTTACCAAGTTATCAAGGGCGTTGAGAGCGAGAGCGATATATATGTATATCACCGTTTTGCTGTATAACAGTCCACAATAGTGGTTGTTAGGACCGCTTAGGGGGGCAAAAACGTCTTTCAGTGAATATTTTGCCCTATCTAATGGTTATTCTAAGTTTATTAAGTTATCTCTACAAGGGTAATGCAGGTTTTTCCTGCGGTCGCTGACACAGTCAGCATTCCCTTCCTGCTCATTTATTCGGCACAGAACGCTTTTTTTATTGTAAGCAAATTCTCAATTAACAGGTCCTGAACAAGTAGTAGCAATCACCAATGAGGATGTTCAAGTAGACACGCCCTTGGCTGACATGAAGGAAGTTGATGCGGCGTTTTCTGCGCTGATTTCATTCCCCACACGCGTACGTGCCTCTGGGCCATAAAACCCTTGGTCCGGAAATTGATAACCATTGGATGAGCAGAAATCCCTCTCTAACAACTTAACTACATTTCACGTTGATATTTTCCCAAGCCAATTCGTTTTAGATTGGGTTCCTCAAACTGCTACGCTCACATAGCACCCCTAAGTGAAGTTCCAAGAGAGCTGCCAGCCCAGGCCACTTCCACGTGTATTTCATCCATGACTGTTTCCTGTAGAGCCAGTGTTCCCCATAACTGGCAACGAGGTGGATGCGTTGGTTCAGCACAGGGGGAGGCTAGAAAAGAGCATGACAGGCGTTATTTTGGGATGCGCACCCATACTAAATGCTGCAGTTGAGGGGAGGGGCGTGTGATGGCACGCCTAGGTGCGGGTTCCCGTCGCGCCAGCCGCCTGCGCCCTCTCACGTCTTCGATCTTCTTGACTTGGTCATGACCTCTGGCAGTAGATGCTGGACAAGTGTTCTATCACAATGATCAGTTCACAACTCAAGTCAGTGTCCCTGTGCCTACCCAGTTCTCGGTCATCCGGGGGATATATATTGCCCATTAGCAGCAGTTCAACTGTCAGGCGAGCGCACCGACGCTTATTTGAGGGAACACACGAACCGTGGCTAGGACATGTTGAAATAGTGGACAGCGTCCATCACATGTGCGCCAGCGAACACTGCCAAGTGGTCCACAGCCTACTAATAAATCCTATGAAATCGTTACAATTCGCAAGAAAGGCAACGGTAATGCCAACGGTTGTGCCGCAACAGCCCTCTTTATCAAAGGAAGTTAGTGTAGTTCTCCTAGTTGGAATGACCCACATTAACCGATGATCCTTGTGAACTTACTGACAACTTATTTACACGTAACTAAAACCTCAGTAGAACCTTCTGCCACATATATCCCCTGCTCTCCTGTCCACTAGGAAAACTGTCCTAATTACCCACTCACCACTTCTCCTCCCCTGGTACATGACCCAAGGGAAATTTGTCGAAAACAATTGCTTGTCGCACTGTTGTCTACAGAGTTATTTTTCACTCACTTTTTTCCGCGTTGTCGCGATTTGGGGTTGTCAGAGCAGCCCTGCAGATGTGCTGTCTGTTTGGTGCTTTGTCCGGACTTGATTAATTCTCGTTCAAAATTACCTTATCCAGACTTTTTTATCACAGACCTGTAAAGTTATCTGGAAAGGTGCTTTTGGGCGGGAGGATCCCCAAAATCTATACCGGATTCCAACTTTATTTAATTTGTTTTATCAATCTATAGGAAGAGGCGTATTTCAGGAAAGTCTTTTTATCAAATGCGTGGTATGAAGAAGAATCGGAAACATGAAAAAGACTTTATTGTCCCGAACATCCAATTTGCTTTTTTCGCCTGCCTCCTCGTAAATCTGTGGAAACTTTAGGGAAGTTTGAATTTATAAACTATAGCAAACGTCAGCAAACAAAAAAGTTTATTATGGTGAGCAGAACATGAACTATAATTCTGATCCCGGAATTCTGGCTTTTTAAAATTTGAATTTGTAAACCATTCGACTACATCATATCTGTGCGAATGGCCTAACTGAATTTGAGGACAATCGACCAGTTCGAGCCTAGACAGCGCTTTTAAGCTTATGGTATCAAGCGCTTTCCGTAGGACGCCTGCACTTTAATTTAACCGCAACAACGTTGCCCAAAACTGAAACCGGGTTCCGCAATCGAAAAGGGAAACAGGACAAGGAACGTCCCCACACGTAATATAGATGGTTCTGCGCTAATTTCCGGGAAGGGTAAATATTTCTGTCTTAATCACAACAGTAGCCCTTATCTTATCTTTAACTTTTCTCACCCAAAACCATTTTTTCGCTTTTCGCATGTATTACGCGCAGTTCCTTTTTCCATGCCCTGCCGGGGGATAGGGGGAGGCCGGTTTATGAGAAATGCCTCCCTTTCTTTTATCTAAGCTCTCTCTAAGAAAAAACAAACCTTCGCTTTTACTACTAAAAACAATGGTTAAACGAGTCTCGAGCAAGGTAACACAAGTAGTACTGAAGGCATCGATTCCGATCATCATTTGATCAATGGATTGGTCGAACTCTGTTTTTCTACAGACAGGCTGAAGTATGAAGACTAGCCCTGTTATTGGTAACTGTCATTAGGACTGGTGCGGCCATTCTCGAAAGAATTTAAAGGTGTTGATTGGTTGGTCTCCATATTCAACATACTGATGCCCGTATAATTCTGGTGGTTTGCCCAATCAAAACTTTGAACATTCAGCCCCTCCTTCGAGTTTTTTGGTTTTTCTAAACATCAAGAAAAATTTGTAGAAACCCGTTTT